ATAATAGTGCTAGAGTTTGAGTTGCAGTGAAACGCATGTACATACTGCAGACGTCTTGAGACCAAAGCAGCAGCTAGGAAAAGCTCGATTGCACCTAAATCCCCCAGCTACCTCGCTTTCCAAAACAGTAGTAGTAGTAGCAGTAGTAGTAGTAGTAGTAGTAGTAGTAGCTAGTACTAGTAGTAGATTAAGTACTAGTCACAGAAATAATAATAGCAATAGCACTACACTAGCAATGCTAATTGCAATAGTAACAGCATTGTTAAATAAAACAAAAACAAAACGGGAATAAAAGATACTATGATGACAATAATACTAATAATGATACCGGTGATAGTAGCACTCGTAATAATAAGAATAATAGTACATGCAGTACCAGTAAGAATAGCATGACGAATAGTAATGATCATAACAATAATTGTAATGGTAGGAACACTAGTTATAACACTCACAAGAATAGTAAGATAAATGACTATACTGACATTACCCATGGCGAGAACAACAGCAATGGTCATAATAGTCATAGTATCAATCGTCATCATCATCATCATACCCAGGCATTCCCAGTCACTCCAATCACAACCGAAGTTTCAGGTTGAGCGTGTTTCTCAACCCCTTGCGTTGCGTTTGCGTTGCGATGCCTTGAACAGAACTCGCTGAAGCAGTCGACAAGGCCGAGGTCCAAGTCCAGCAGCATGCCGCGGCTGAAACCTTGCAGGCTGTGGTCTCGGGCTTGGTCTGTTGCACTTATGGCCAGGACGATAGCAACAGTCTGACTGCTATGTTGCACACGCAGTAACAACTGACCTGCACGTTCCTCATACAGCTTGGACACACTATTGTTGGGGGGTTCTCTTGTTTTTCTTCAAAAGGCATGGTGAGGTGAGCCACGAAACGCACACGGCAGGTGCGGACGGCGGTTCTACTGCTCACGCTGTGGCACGGTGGGCATTTTCGGCCAAACCTGGCGTTCTTTCCACCATTCTGCTGCAATGCGGTAGACTCCAATTTTCGCTGTTGAACTTGCTGCATCGCGTTCCCGCCGCAGTCCCATGGTCAATTTCGCCTTCAAATGCTCGAAGTCGCTAAAGCCACGCGCTCGAAATTCCCTCGCTCAACGGATTCTAGAGACTTGACGAAAATCGAAATTCCCGCCGCATGTGACCTGCGGATGTTCGCTTTACACCACACTCCCGTGAGTGTCCGCCTGCCGAAATCGTGTTCCCGGCACAGCACTGCGTGCATTTTGGGTTTGGCTCGTGTTTCCACCCCCAAAATCGTGCTCCCACCCCAGTTGCGTGCGAATTTTTTTGGGGTCGGACTCATGTTTTTGGCGACGGTGTGGTCGGCATTTGTGGACTCATGGGGTGTTCTTGGTAACCTGGCGGTTGCTCTTGGCATGGTTCGGGTATCCTCCTGCACTGCTTGGGTTCTACGTTGGCATAATCCAAGTGGGCCACCGGCAAGTGAACAGCCCAAGAGCATCAGCACCCGGAAACCAGGCAGCGGCACCTGGGAGTCCGCGGCTGGATGCACTCCAGACGCTGAGCACCAGGACCTCATGAGTTTGCAGATCAGTCATTTCAGTTGGACTGCGTGCTCGAATTATGTATAATTTTCGTTTCCTGGCTTCTTTAGATTAAAGCGCTTTAGAATGCCCTCCTCCTCGGACATGATCTACCGAACTGGCAAACGGATCAGCCACGAAGCCCGGATTTGTCCCGACCGACTTCCCAAGCCACCACTGCTGCAGAGGATGCAGTCAAAACGGCTCCGGAAATACAACACCCGGGTTTTGGACGACGTGCCTAGAGTGCACACCTCTTGACCTTCAGGATATTTTTCTCTCGTCTCTCTCTCTCTCTCTCTCTCTCACTTCCTTCTCACTCCATCATCGCTTGCAGAAGCACGATATGAGACTCCTAAAATTGACGGCCTGCCTGGCCTCCCCGCTGGTAACGATATGGACTCACGGTCGTGGTGTTCTCGTCTCGCATAGCCGTGCGGCACCCATGCCTGCAAGAAACGGTGCAGGAAGCCAGAGGAGCTCTTGCAAGAGGCCTGGATGCACATACGCGAAGACTAACCCCTCCTTCCTTCCTTTGACCATCCTGACAACTGAAACCTTTGGTTGTGCCAGGATGCGCAGTTCTTGCGAACATTTGGCCGCAGTGTATCCAGCCCACAGCCGCCTAAGCCCCGTGTCAAGCCATGGCGAGTGGCAAAGAAGAGCTCCTGTCCATTTTCCGTGCTTTTGACACGAAGAAAAACGGGCTGGTCTCGCAGCCTTTGCTGCACAAGCTACTGCTAAAAGCCTGGGCCTCAGGCAGCACGGAGCAGACATTGCTAACAATATCCGCGAAAGGCACGGACCGAGTAACGTTGCATGCCATTTTCGACTGATTGCAGATATGGGCCCATCCTGTGCGCCGCACTGAGGCAGGCTTTGTCAAAGAGCACGTGGACGCTTTGCAAGCATGGAAGTCGTATGTTTTCCTCTGCACAAGCCCAGCTTGTCTTAAGGTTTCAAGCCCTGCCGCGAGCCTTATATAGGTGCGAGCCTGTGATGGCTGCGGTATGCAGCAACACTTTGGTTTTGAACGTTGCCCTCTGGGAAGTACTTGCTTGCGCGAGGCCCAGCCAGCACTTCGATAGAAAACTCCAGAATACCCGAGACCACAAGACCAAAAGCATCCCGAACGACGATGGACATGTTGTGCGGTATTGAATTTCGAGGATCAGCTCTGGGAGGTGGCGGGCTTCGTGGCCAAGGACTTTGTGCCCTATGCCAGCCTGGCGCCTCCTCACGTTCGATGCAGAGTGTCACGATGTCATTGCAATCGTCTCGGATTTTGGCTTAGACGTCCAATCTTTTAGCCCATATGCGTTATCCTTCAGCATGAGACCGTGCGAAGTACATGGCACCTGGAGGTGGACTGGCTTTGGGCTGCAGAGCTGAACAAGGTGTGGAGAAGATTCGCTTTGCATGAGTCAGTACGCACTCCGTCAAAACACATGTGGTGGACGTTCAGCGACTGTAAGTGCCTCGTGAGTCTGCCAACCTTTAGGAGGGTGAGCACCTGCAGTTGGATGCTGAAGGGTTTATTTCCGGCCTAGCAGGCGCCACCCGCAGGGCCCGGTACCCTCATGGAGCCTGTGGAGCTGACACAAGCTCCGCCCGACGGACGGGCAGAAGCCAGGTGCCCAAGACGTCTGCCTTTGTTCGGGGACTTCGCATGGCTACGTGTTGTGACAAGACCCTCCGCACTGAGCATCACTGAGCTGGCTTGCTCCAGGTGCTGTAACCGCACCTTCGTGGCATGCTTTCGTGTTGCGCCTTTTACGTAATGCTTGCTGACATACATACATATACATACCTACCTGCCTGCCTACATACGTACCTACATACATGTGCAGCCGGAGGGAAGGTGTAGTTTGCCATCCTGCATGTGGCGCCGCCTAGGTCGCTCTCCAGTCACTCATGATGTTGATTGCCGCGGCCAGTTGGGCAGAGTATGGTCCGGAGAAAGGCAAACATGTTCTGGAATTTAGGGGCAGTGCAGAGAAAAGTGTCCTTGGTGAACGAACGACCCGAGATGTTCGCCTTTATTGATCAAGTTGCCGAAAATAACATGTAGGAAATTGCAATGCGTTGCTTGTCGACAGGTGAGGTGTGTGTGGAGAGCGTTCCCAGCACGCCAGAAGCCTTCATGACCTTCTCGGTGGCATATGCCAAGGACTTGTGCGCGTTCACAAGTGAGCAGCATCCACTAGGCTGATTGCTAAATTAGTCGGATGTGCGATCCAAGACTGCCGCCTCTCCTTTTGGAAGTCTGCCTGCGAAGCACATCTCAGAAAAGCTCTTTCCTCAGGATAAATCTCTGAGCTTGTCGGCGAGTTTAGCATCGCTTCTGACTCAGAAGGCACCCAAGTGTCTGGTGGAGAGTTGTTGATCCTCGGTTTTGGGTCATGGGCGCAGTCAAGCAGAGGGCTCCATTATAATATCTGCTGACACCGGTGAAGGTTCGGCTACTGATCAAAAACGCGTGCCTGGGCGAACATTAAATAGTGCTGAAATTTGATTCGTTTGGGTCCAAGGTTTGTGGCTCTTGCACGTGCTCCGGGTAAGTTGGATTTCCAGTTATTTGCAGGGCGAGGAAACATCTATCAAGAAAGCTTGTACATTTTCAAGAACAATTCCGAACGACGAAACTGTTCCCACGACATGGCTGCTGCATACAGTGGGGAGATGAGCCCTGGATGCCTGCACAAAGGTCCTTGGGGCTGGAAGTCGTGGACTATGCGAAAGCGTTACTGCTGCTCAAAGCCCAAGGCACCCTGAGCTTTGCTGAAGTCCAGCACGATCGTTCGTAGTCACCAATCGTGCCGCAAGGCTTCAGTGGCTGCCACGCTCTCGCGGAGTCCCTCGTTGGGGCTGCTGCAATTGGGCTTCATGCAGTGCATCTCAAGGCCAATCGAAGTTTGACTTTCGCAGGAAGGAAAGGTTCGAGGCTTTGGTGCCTTTGGTTGAGAAGTTCGGTAGTCGACCGAGACTGCCAACTTTTGCACGAACTTGGGCTGCCCTCCGGAACCTCCATACACACTTCTAGACGCATTGAATTGAGAGTGAGAGGGAGCCTAGCTGCAGGGCGAGAGCTCTGGAGCGCGGCAGGCCTGGAAATGTTGCGTTGCAGGATTGAACCATTTCGTGGCTTCTCGAAGACAGAGGGGAGATGCTGGGGATCAAGGCAGAAGGAACAAAAGGCATAGACTTAGGGGCTGGATAGGTAACCTTTAACCTTTTGGGGCTTATATAACCCTACTATAATTCAAAAGGTTAACCTTTTTTGGGCTAGGGTACTCAGCCCCTAAGTAGAAGCTCCTGGGGCCAAGCCTCAGGTCTTCCGCACGCCGGCAGTGGCACCCTGTGCCCTGCCTGGCTCCCTCGCGGGTGTGCCTTGGGAAATCCAGGTGGCAGAGAAGGCACCGGGAACTGCAACGATACACAGAGCACTACACCATCTTGATTTGTTTGGTTTTTTTCAACCTTCCGGTTCGGGGTCCATTGTGGTTCGAGGTGGCCTTAGAGATGTCAGAGTTTCTTCCGTCCATGATTAGTCACTCGCTCCTTTGTTCCTCTGTAAATTTGGGAATCACCATGAACATTCCCAGTGTGCGCTCGTTCAAGAGCAAAGCAGGCTCCAGCCGGCATTCCAGGCCCCACCAGCCTGGCGTCTTGTAATGGGGATCCTAACCCACACTGGCCTGATGTCTCCTAGTTCGCATCGCAGTCGAACTGCCGACCTCATGTGCGGGTTGCCGGCAGCCCTTCGCGTCGTCATGCAGTCTACGCTTTGCTGTCCAAATTTGCACAAAAGAAAAATCCGGTTGATGGCGGGGCACCCGGCAGAGAAGAATGGAGAATTGAAAGCACGACCGATGCGTTGGCATTCGCTCTCTGCCACTCCGAGCAGAACAATCCTGCATCGGTGGGATCCTCACCGGGTTCTACCCAACTCACCGTTCTGGTTCTTATGAAAGAGTGAGGATGTTCACCGGCACGTTGGCCAAGTTAGCACCAGCGAAAGCCCACCAAAGCCGAAGCCTGCCGCTGAGAGGCTGGATACTTCAAGCTCCTTGGACCCAAGGCCCGCGACAAGTCCCTGGTTGCGGAAGATATATTCAGGGCAGGGACTTGACCTTTCGGGGGCAGGTTCGGCACGCGGTGCCGAACTTGACGATGGATCTTTGCTTTCTGAGTTTCTGAGTATTGGTTCTGGCGGAATCGATAGGCTTCGCGCAAGTCTTTGCGTGTAGAGGTCCGAGTTCATGCCTCGGCTGCTGTCATTGTCAGCATATGTCAATGGAATGCCTGTCAGCCTTGAGCAGATAGTGCTACTGTATGATATTGTATTTGATGGCAAAGTCCCGTCCACATCACTGGTGTTCGAAGGTTTTATTTTGCAGGGATGCATTTTTTGCCCCAGGTCCGGGGTGCCTGCGCAAGTCATTTTGTCGTGAAGAGGTGCCACACAGCACCGCATTTGTTGGATCTTGCTGGCAGGTTACACACACGGAATGACCATTCAGTTGTGGCTCCTGGCCTTCAACCCTAAACCTCGAACTTGAAGGCAGAACGCAAAGTCTACACAGGGCCCGGAAGGACTGCGATAAAGACTTCCAACAGATTTTATTTGAGCCAGGTCGATCTCTCGGCGCTGGTGCCTGGTGAGTTCGGCAAGCTGGGAGACCCTCTTCCCATGAGCGTCGGGGTGAAGGAGTCCTCTGCTGTCTTGGCGATACAACACCCCAGCAAGCTGAAATGCCAGGAGTGCAACGAGGCTGCGAAAGCCAAGGAGCAGACTCACGTAGCCTTACAGGCCGGACAGGGTAATAACTTAGAACTAGATGTGCAGAATGAAGAAGCTGCAGCAGATGAAGTGGCTGGAGCCTCTCAGGCCGAGACCATGCAGAATAATTTCCTGGGTGAACTGAGCGATCGCATTGCCACCGCTGCCAAGGCACAGTTCTAGCTAGGCTTCGAATGTTCGGGACATTTCGGGACTCAGGTTTTGAGTTGCAGAGCTCAGGTCTAGCGGGGACATTTGGGTTGAGGCGCTCAAGACAGAGGCATGCTGATGTCGAAAGCAGTTTCCGATATATGGATCTCACATGCTGAAGTCCAGAAAAGAAGCTGGGTACTTGAGTGCGTAAAATGATGAGGAGGGTTCCCTGCCGCCACGATGAATTGAGGGAACCTCTCGCACTGCCTTGAACACTTCCAACTGTCTCCGAAGAACCTACGAAACTGCTCGTAACTGAAACCGCACTGGCTACTTATCTTGATGCCCGAGCTTTGCAGAGCTAGCTAGTAAAAGGCTTCTACTAAGTTTGGGCCCCGATGAATCAGGAGAAGTCCTGCGTGGTTGTGGTGGCAGGGCCTTCATCAAGCGGGACACCAGTCCACAACATTGAAGTATGCTTTCTTCGGGGCTCCGTGTTTGAGGGTCTTTTAGGGCTTCTGGCTTTGCTTGCATACATCCCGAGCTGACAATTAAC